CCTTGCGGCTGTTGACTCGGCACATTAATAATAAAGAATTGAATTGAATTGAATTGAATTATTATTATTATTATTATTATTATTATTATTATTATTATTATTACCACATACTTAACGTGTTCTGTATTGACAAGAATCAGCAGTAAATATGTGTAGTATATAGATGTCATAACAGCGTTAACAGCTGCCACTGTGCATTCCACCCCTAATTCCGGACAATCGACTCTTAGCAGTAATCACGCATCGGGCCGTTGTACGTTGAAACAACTGTTGAAATTGTAGAAAAAGGGACAGCGTGTGTGGAGTGCGATTCTGCATCAAGCCCAATGGTACTGGACATGAAGTCCTTTGTCTAAGACTCTTCATGTAACTTGCTCGGTAGTCAACCCCAGAGGCACTACATGAAAATCACGGTCTTCAAGTTCGTAACGCCATGCAGTGCTGCTACATTTCGGAGGAACATATCGCCTAGGGTGGAAGCCAACAAGCTGATCAGATTTGTAATATTATCCTTCTATCTCTGAGTATTATCCTACCAACATTGCAGCAAGTGTGTATCGGAGTCTGTGCGTTAGGGTATCAATAAAGTGTGGCCATAATACTCTCTATTCCTCGTTTCAGATAGCGGTCTTTGGCACTAAAGGTGTGAAACCTCCTGTTACTACCATAGTTTCAGTTAGTTCATTTTTACACTTGAGATGATAATATTAAACTAGATCTGAAAATTGTTGTGCTTGGTACTCCCCGTTATAAACACATACCTGGATTCTATGAAAAAATAAACTTGCAAAATGTGTAACTTAATTTGAACCAATAAAAAAACAATGAAATTAAAGAAACAACTAAGCTAACACTGCTGTTTTTCGTGAAGTATGTCTGTAATATGCACAAGCATATTCTGAGCCAAATCAAGATAAAATGACGTTGGCACATAAGTTGTTAATGAGAATATTAAAAATGAGGATTTTTAGTATCCTTGAAAAGTTGGTTTAGCCTCCTTAAGGGTACCGGTACCACAATTTCAAAACCTCTCAAATAGAAAACTTACAGAAATATTCGTACAACACCAGAAGAGAATTCAATAGAAAATCTTATCGTTTATTTTAAAAGTTCTCGTCCAGTTAACTTCCCTGCTATCTCCCGTATTCTTTTCCAATCCCGCAAGTTACCGAACGACACGTTGAGGTCGATATTTAACGCTATCTCCCACGAATAACACGCACAATTGGTCAGTCGTAAACATCCTCCTTTATATAACACACTACAATTCACATAACTCCATTGAAATACGAATAAATGTCTTACTTGGAGAACAGACACGAAACATTTTTTTATTTATTTATTTATTAAGCAATCATAAGCTACAGTTCTACAGTTCTATAAGCTAGTTTGCTGGCGTAAGAGCTGTGATGCTCTTTAATGACGTGGTGAGTCCCTTTCCCATTGGGAGGTTCCTCATTAGTTTTCTTTTAGGTCAGCTGGCCAGTGTCTTCGGAGTCTTGGATTGTGCTGCGGTTCAACGAGTGGCTGTAGTATGTCGTTTGGGTGATTTGCTAGTTTTTTGTGGTGTGAGGTACTTTTTTCTCTGATGACGTCCTTGATGTATGGTATATTTAGATCTGTATGTAACGTTTGGTTGTTTACATACCAGGGTGCATTTGTTATAATTCGACGTATTTTTTATTGGCTTCTCGGATTATTGATATATTTGATTTGCTGGCACAACCCCAGAGCTCAATTCCGTAAGCCCAGATTGGTTTGATTATTGTCTTATAAAGCAGGACTTTGTTTTCTATGGATAGGTTGGATCTTCTTCCAATTAACCAGTTTAGCTCCTTGGTTTTTAAGTCTATCTGTTTGCGTTTTTTGATTACGTGGTCTTTCCAAGTGAGTCTACTATCCATATGGATTCCGAGATATTTAACGCTTGGAGACTTTGGGATATTGTTATTATACAGTCTTACTTGTGGGCAATGCTCTCGCCTTAACGTGCAGTTCACTTGGACAGATTTAGTCTCGTTTATTTTATATGTAAGATAAACACCGTCTTAAGTGTAACAATTAAACACTTAAGACTGTGTTTATCTTACATATATTGTGCGAGTGTAACAGGATGCTCAAATATAATATCGTTTATTTTAATTTTCCATTTGTGTAGTCATACTTGTATTTGGTTTAAATGGTTTTGTAGGTTACTGGTGGCCTTTGCTGGATCTGCATGGGTTGCTACGATGACTGTATCATCTGCGAAGGTTCCTGTGGTGGTGTTTTCATCGGTTGGTAGGTCCGCCGTATAGAGAAGGTATAATAGCGGTCCTACTACGCTGCCTTGCGGTACCCCAGATTTTATAGTAAACTTAGTAGATATTGCTTGATTGATTCTTACTCTGGATTCCCTGTCGTTGATATAGGACTTCATCAATTTGAAATAAGTGATGGGAAGATTCTGTTTAATTTTATATAATAGTCCTCTGTGCCAGACTTTATCGAAGGCCTGCTTTATACCTAGGAATACGGAGGTACAGTATTCTTTACGATCGAGTGCTTGGTTTATGCTATAGGCTACTCTGTGTGTTTGCTGTACAGTTGAATGTTGTTCTCGAAAGCCAAACTGATGTCGTGGTAACCAATCTTTTGTGTGGGGATCGTTGCTTATTCTTTGAATCAGGAGTTTTTCGAGGAGCTTGGCAATAACTGGGAGTAAGCTTATAGGTCGGTATGAATCAACTTTGGTTGGGTCTTTGCCTGGTTTGTGGATTAGGATTATTTCAGCAGTTTTTAGTTGTTTCGGCCAGTAGTTTATTCTAAAGATGGCATTGATGATGATAGTAATTATCAGTACGGCTTTTTGTGGCAATTCTTTTATCATTTTGGGGGTAATTTGGTCTATGCCTGGAGTTTTACGTAGTTTTAGGTAGTTTATTTCTTTTTGTACTTCCCTTGTGGTGATTTTTTTAATTCCCGGTATGTTCGCAGGGGTATTTGACAATTGTTCTTCTACTTCAGTGTCGTTTGGTGTAAATACCTTTGCAAGATGTTGAGCCAACAGCATTGTCTTTTGCTCGTCGCTTCTGGCCCAATTTGGGTTGGGTACCGTTTCATCTCTTATTGGGGGTGCCTGATGTTTAGGTTTTCTTTGATGTTTCATTAGTTTTCAGATTGTGTTGTCAAATCTATTAAGACTGGTGATATAATCGTGAAATGATCTGTCCTTTTCTTCTTTGATTTTAATTTTTAACTGATTATTTGCTCTATTTAGAGCTGTTTTGTCTTGCGGTGCGTGTGTTCGGTGCCATTTGACTCTTGCTTTTCTTTTAACTGCTATTAGTTTTTTCTATCTCGATTGAGATATTATTTGAGGCTTGATTGTGGATTTGCAGCTTGGGGGCTGCCTGTTCAGCAGCCTTTGTGAGAGTAGTTGTTAAGTTTGTTAGTACGTCATCCACTTCAGTTGGGTTTTGGAGGCTTACTTTTAGGTTTATGTTTTCTTCAATTTCGGTGCGATAATGTTCCCAATTAGTTCTTTTGTTATGTAGCCCAATCGGAGGTTTTTTGTGAATGATGAGGCTGCTGACTGTTGCTAGTATAGGCGAGTGATCAGAAGAGAGATCATAGCTAGCTTCTGTGTGCATGTATGCTGGGGAGATGCCTCCGGTGATGAAAAAATCTAGGAGATCCGGAATTTTGGAGTTATGGGTGGGCCAGTAAGTTGGAGCGCCGGTTGACAGGATAGAGTAAGTTCTCTCCTGGATCAGGTTTGCTAGTTCTCTGCCTTTGGTTGTTGTGAGGCAGGAGCCCCATAGATTGTGCTTGCAGTACAAGTCACCTCCTGCTATGAATATTGGTCGGAGCGTCTGG